TCAATGACATGGCACAAAGGAATAAAATGCAGTGTATGCAATATGTTATCTATACCTGTCATGTTCTAACTGGTTGCAATTCCAACGCGAGAGTTGCGTTGGACTTCGAATGTTTGTGATTGGCTGTAATTCCAACCAGCGGCGAGAAACTTCTCGACTCACTTTGTATAAAAGTGTTCTGATTGGTTGGCTTGCCAACCAGTCCGTTTCCGCGCTTTTCAACCAGTTCATTTCCCTTTTCGTCTTCCCAACCCAGGTTTCAATGTATCGAGACTCTGGGCTGGTTGGGATATCGAGATGTTACACTCCTCCCCCTCCAGCTGGCAACGTCCCCGTTGCCATGGGGTGCTTCTTAGGACGAGTGCTACGAGCATGACGAACCACATTACGACCAGGGTCAACACCATCCGCTGGTTGTGGGAGTGCTCGCTGAGCCAGGTCTTCCATGTAAGACTGAACCGCAGTATCAGTCAAATGTTCTTCCGGCTCCCATGAGTTGTGTTCAGGCCCATAGCCTTTCCACTTAATGAGGAACTCTCGTACAGTTTTGCGGCCCGCGTTGTCGATCACGATGCAAAAGCACTCGTTCGACTTCATAGTACAGTTCCTCCCCTAGGACGATTGTTGGTGGTGGTAAGTACTTGCCCTCTGCAACGTACTTGTTTAACAGAGACACATGGAAGACATTGTGAATCTGCAGGGTATCAGGTAGCTTGAGTTTGTAAGCTACAGCACCAACTCGTTGAACGACCTCGAAGGGCCCAATCCAGCGAGGGAACAACTTTCTCGCACCAGGGATCTTAAGCCGAATATTCTTCGTGCTTAACAAAACTTTGTCTCCAACGGAGAATGATACTTCCCGGCGTTTCATGTCGGCATAGGATTTTTGCCTTTGTTGGGCTAATTGCAGCCAACGACGTGCCGACTTTAGGGCCTCTCGTTGCTTGCCCACAAAATCCTTTGCGGCAGGTAATTTCAAACCGCCGATCCCATGCGTAGCAGGTGTTGTGGGATGCCGACCACAGTTCAGGATAAATGGTTTTTCATGTGTGCTATCATGCACCGAGTTGTTAACTGCAAACTCAACCATGGGTAACAACTCGTCCCAGTTTTCCTGTGTTGGGCTTATGAAAGAACGAAGCATCTGCTCGAGAGTGCGGTTAGTCCGTTCCGTTTGCCCATCTGTCTGGGGATGGAACGCTGATGACATCTTAAGCTTCGTTCCTAGTGTCTGGGTTACTTCACGCCAAAATCGGCTCGTGAAGCGCGGATCGCGATCAGACACTAATACACGTGGCAATCCGTGTAGACGGAACACATGTGTCACGAACAACCGAGCAGTATCCTCTGCCGACACGTCTGTTGTCGTGGGTACTAAGTGCACCATTTTTGTAAGGCGATCTACAAAGACGAGTATCGCCGTATACCCATCACGGGTTCTTGGAAGGTCGGTGATGAAATCCAGTGAAACGCTTTCCCAAGGTTCACTCGGAATTTCAAGTGGTTGAAGCAAACCACTAGGCTTCTGTGTGTCCGGTTTGTTACGTGCGCACGTGTCGCAACGTGCCACAAACTGTTGGACATCACTACCAACTCCTGGCCACCAATACACATCTCGTAGGGCCCATCGGGTCTTATTCATGCCCAAGTGTCCCCCATATTTAGTGGCATGCACCTCTTCCAAAATATCGTTCCGCAGATTGCCTACATGAGGTACCACAATCTCTTTTGTTCGCCACCAAAGATCGTGTTCCCATGTCAAATTTCTGGTGTTTTGTGGGTTCTGGAACCAGGAATCGATATGATATCCTGTACGAATTCGTTTCAGAAAACCAGTGAACGCGATCTCGCTCACTTTCGCCGCAGCTAGTATGCCAAAACAGGCAGCAAAGACAGCCGCGTGTTCGGTATCGTCAAGCCCAGTTGCTGCCCCTATCGGCTGTCTGCTGAGGGGGTCAGCCAGGTTCGTGGAACCTGCACGATAACGTATGTCGAAACTGAACCCACTAAGGAGTTCAGCCCAACGGGCCTGACGGCGAGTGAGGGTAGCTTGGGTAGAAAAATATGTGTTCGGACAATGGTCAGTGGTGACCACGAACTCTACCCCTTCCAAGTAACATCGCCATGTTCTTAGCGCATGTACGACAGCCAACAACTCTTGTTCGGTTGTCGTGTAGCGTTGCTCTGCCGGGGAGAGTTTTCTACTCTCAAATGCCACAGGGCGTCCTTCTTGCAGGAGTACTGCACCAAGTCCCACCGTCGAGGCGTCTGTAACCACCTCATATGGTTTCTGTGGGTTTGGCAACACCAAAACTGGTGCGTTGGTTAATTTATGCTTGACCTCTTCGAAGGCCTTTTGGCACTGTGGAGTCCACTCCCACGTGCACCCTTTCCGGGTCAATGCCGTAAGGGGGGCGACTATCGTGGAATAATTTTCCAAGAAGCGACGAAAATAATTCGCCAGGCCCAGGAATGATCGAACTTGGCCAACGTCGCGTGGGACGGGCCACTCCTGGACAGCCGCTACCTTCTTGGGGTCCACTTTCAGACCGTTGTGCCCCACTACGTGCCCCAAATACTCCAGCTCGCGTTTGTAAAAATGGCATTTCCACAAACGTGCGTAGTATTTGTGCTTGCGTAATTTTTTGAGGACCCATTTCAGGTGTTCGGTATGCTCATCTTCGGTTTTTGAGTATACCAAGATATCATCGAGGTACACCAGGACGAACTGGCCAATCGCATCACGAAAAACATCGTTCATCGCCCTCTGGAAAGAGGCCGGAGCGTTGGTCAAGCCAAAACTTAACACACGCCACTGAAAATGGCCGAACGGCGAACGGAAAGCCGTCTTTGGAACATCGTCCTCTGTTATACGCAATTGGTGATAGCCTTGTGCCAAGTCCAGTGCACTGAACCATTGCGCACCCTGTAGTCGATCAAATAAATCTTCTATGCGCGGAAGTGGATATCTGTTTTTTATGGTAATTTTATTCAGGGCTCGATAATCGACGCACATGCGTAGTCCACCTCCCTTCTTGTGAACAAACAAGATAGGTGCTCCATATGGGGACCCGCTAGGTTCTATCCATCCCTTCCTGAGGTACTCCTCAATCTGTTGTTTAGCCTCCTCGTACTCAGCTGGACTGAGGCGATACAGAGGTCTAAATGGTGGTGCCTTTCCTGGTTCCACCGGGATGGTGTGGCCAACTGCACGGTCGGGGGGTAACCCGTCCGGAATTGGTTCGAAAACCTCGGAATATTCCTCTGCCAACGCCTTCATTTGAGGTGGAAAGTCCTCAATAATCTGTGAAGGGGTTGGTTCAGAGTCCAGCTGTACAACAAAAAGTGTATCAGCTCCCTTGACATGCTCTTTGAATTGGAGAGCCGACGTAAAGCGCACATCAAGAGCCAGGCTTTGAGGTTTGTCGTCCAGTGCATGGCGCTCTGGGACTTGCCATTGAAACGCCGTCCCATTCTTTGTGAATGAAAGCGTGTTATCTTGGAAATTTAATATCACCTCATTAGGCCGCAGCCAATCCATTCCAAGACAATGTCTACGCCTGCTAGGAGGGGTAAGACAAAAACACTGATGGTCTCCTGATATCCTTGGACATCCACGTTGACCAACGCATGTCCTCTGCATGGAATGATCCTATCATCCCCTAGGCGGATCGAACAGGATGGTCCTTGAACAGGGACATTCAAGTATCCCATCCATTTCTCATCGATCAATGACGCAGTTGCTCCTGTATCAACCAGGATTGAGGCACTGCGCCCGTTTACCCGACCAGAAAACAAAAGATTTTGCTGATGTTTGGGTCGAATAGGACATGCTGTAATGTCAGTGGGAGGCGAATAGTATGCCTTAATGCCGTGCTTGCTGCGTCCAAAGGAGCGAGCGTGTGTCCACCACACATGGTGTCCCTTATCCCACTGCGCTAACACGCTCCATCCTTGAAGTGCTCGAAACGATTTACCTCGAACTGTGCGCGTTACCATTCCAACCGCAGTTAGAGGGTGCGCTTGGGTGCAACGACCCACCACGTCCATTATCCAAGGCAAATTATGGTGATCACAAAATATAAGTGAGAATTTATCTCTTAATGATTCAATTGTGACATTTTCCAGTGGGTGAAATCGAGAGGCAAACAAAGAGCTTTCATTAAAAGAAGATGCATACACACATGCAATTTTGCAATCAACAAGGCACTCGAGTTTCAATAACTCCTCATCCCGCAGGACCACTGCCTCATCCTCTCGATCTACTATGCCCGCTAGGTACCCACCCCCTAGTTGGGCTTTGCAAAATCCCGCTGGCTGCCCGAGGGACCACTGCCATCATAGCGCTTGCTGTCCGTCTTGGACTTGCCAGAGTACTTCACCGCCTTGCGGTAGCGGCACTCATAGCCCTTGTGTCCAGGCTTGCCGCACTTGAAGCAGCTCTGGACATTGCTTGGTCCACCCTCGTTGACCTTCTTGGCCTTGTGGTCAGCCTGCTGCCCCTGCTGGAAGGGCCTCTTGTGGTTCCCGCACTTCCAAGGCGTTCCCTGCTGCCTTCCGCTAGGACCCGCTGTGCTAGAAGAGGGCCTTGAGGCCTGCTGCGGCTGGGTAGTGGTTTTGGCATAAGCGCGGAAGTGCTTATCAGTGGTCCCCACCACGCGCTTCACGTGATCATAGGACCTCCATGCCTCCCCAGCCCCATCCGTCATATGCATGTTTTTGAGGTGTTCAGGCAGCCCCCTGAAGAACAGATGGATCTTTTCGCCTTCGCTCATACGTTCCGCCGGTTTCTGGAGCACCCAGATCTCCTCAAACTCCACGGCGTACTGCTGCACTGTGCGATTCCCGCACTGCAGCTTCTCAAGGCGGCTGCGCACCTCCAGCTGAGTCGGCTGGACCTGGAAAGCTTGCTTGAGTGCAGATGCGAATTCCTCCCACCCAAACGGCTTCCTATCCGCCTCAGCCTGGATCTTGCTGCCATACACCACTCGCTGTGCATTCTGGTCCAGCACGGTGGTGGCAGCGACGACGCGAGCGTCGTCTTGGACCTTGTGCGCCTTGAACAGGTCGGTCATCATTGACAACCACGCAGCCACGTCCGTCTTGCCATGTATGAATGGCGGCAGGGTGATCGGCAGAGAGCCAAAAGCCTGCGTGCTCGGCTCAGCAGCGCGCTGCGTAGAAGGACCAGGGTCACCCCCTGCACCACCAGAGCGAGAAGGGTTGGTGCGACCGCTAGCAGAGTTGGTAGGCGGGTCCGCTCGTGGTGCAGGGCGATACATGGTCTCTCTTCGGAGGGCACTGAAGGCCTCGCGCAGCTCGTTGATCTTTGAGGTCTGCCTCGCCAGCTGGTGAACGTGCTCACGCGCGTCGTGCTTCATGTTCTTGAGCTCAACTTCCAGGTACTTGATTTTGTCGTCCTGGTCAGAGAGCTCCCTCGTGAGGTTGGTGATGAGTGACTGCTGCTGCTGCATGCGCGTATCCTGCTCAACAGCATGATCCTGCAGCTTAGTAATTTCAGCCTGCAGAATGTCCTCCTCCCCTTCCAACTCAATGTCATCCTCCTGAGACTCCCCTTCCTGCTCCTTGGAATTTTCAGCAGTTGGTGGGTCCCTTGCAGGAGAGTCAACTGCAGGTTCCTTCTCAACCATTTCCTCATCCATGTTGTTCAAGTCAATTTTCTGCACACAAGCTTCAAGTTCAGCATTGGAGTTGTTGCCTTCAACACCACCAGCATTGGAGTTGGAAGAAGCCATTGAGAGCAAAGTCACTGTATTGTAAAAATGAGTTACAGATCTACTGCAATTTGTTATCACCGCAGTGAATAACCAAGATATTCTCCAAAGGAGAAATTTCTTCAATAGATCTTACAACCACAGCAATGTGACAAACAACTCTGTTGCAAAATATCCTTACCACCGCAGTGGATAAGGCAAGAACAATCACAAAGTGATTGTCTTCAACAGAGAGTGTTAATACACACAGGTTGCAACTCCTCCACAGTAGCTCCAATGGTTCCACCAGCAGGGAAGGAGGGAGGGCTTAGAACTCTTGGAGAAACTTGTAGATCTTGAAAACTGAAGCTTGAGCTTGTAGTCTTCAAAAACTTTTATAGAAGTTACAACACAATCACCACTTCTCCAAAAAAAAAAAACACACACACACAAAATCCTCTTTTATGCCCACAAGGCGAGGATCTACTAATAGCTCTGATTACCAATGTAACGGATCTGATAATAAAAAGGGCATTTACCCACTTAATAATAGGTTCTAACACAACCAGAGAATGGCAGCTCCTGGAAAATGACTAAGTCTGAGAGTTGCTAGGAGATGCAGTAACAAACTGTGGAGGGTGAGTTGAGAGAAAAAGCAATCCTATTTCCCAATTGATTAGTTGGGAGTAGGAAAATGAAGAATGAGCCCCCGAGGCCTCAGACCCCTTCCCTAGACCCCCTTGGGGTGCAGCCACCTTCCCCATGGCAAGGAAGGGTGCACCACCATGGGCCTTGCCCATGTGGCAAAGGTTGATCCTTCTTACTCAATGACATGGCACAAAGGAATAAAATGCAGTGTATGCAATATGTTATCTATACCTGTCATGTTCTAACTGGTTGCAATTCCAACGCGAGAGTTGCGTTGGACTTCGAATGTTTGTGATTGGCTGTAATTCCAACCAGCGGCGAGAAACTTCTCGACTCACTTTGTATAAAAGTGTTCTGATTGGTTGGCTTGCCAACCAGTTCGTTTCCGCGCTTTTCAACCAGTTCATTTCCCTTTTCGTCTTCCCAACCCAGGTTCAATGTATCGAGACTCTGGGCTGGTTGGGATATCGAGATGTTACAGATGGGTGGTGAAGCAAATGGACATTGTGACGGCATTCCTTAACGGCATCCTTGAGGAGGAGATTTTTATGGCGCAGCCAGAGGGGTTTGATGATGGTAGTGGCAGAGTGTGGAAGCTGAAGAAGGCCCTCTATGGGCTGAAACAGGCCCCTAGGCAATGGTACATGAAGCTGCGCGAAGTGTTGGAGGAGATCGGCTTCACTCCCTCAACGGCCGATCACTCCTTGTTCATGCTTGGCGAGGGGGAACAGAGGAGCTTCATGGTGGTTTATGTGGATGACATTCTCATATTCTCACCCTCCTCTGACCTTGTGAAGGAGGTGATGCTGAAGCTGCATGACAAGTTCAAGTGCAAGTCCTTGGTGACGTGAACTTCTACCTTGGGCTCCACATCGAACGAGACGTGGAGAAGCGGAGCATGCGAGTGCACCAACGGAAGTACCTGGAGGCGTTGGCTGCCAACTTTGGCCAGAGTGAAGGTCATGTGGCTACTTCCCTTTCCCTCTGGGTTCAAGTGTGTGAAGGGGCCAGAGGAGGAGAGCGTTGGAGAAGAGGAGAGGCGCCGATTTCACTCGTTGGTGGGCAGCCTCATGTATGCGGCGGTAAACACCCGACCGGACGTCGCGTTTGCTACCGGGCAGCTGGCTAGGGTTGTGCAATGCCCTAATGAGGAGCAGGTAGCAGCTGGAATGAGGGTGGCCAAGTACCTTGGCCAAACACCGACCGTTGGGCTGCAATACTCGGCGGCGGCACAAAGGCGCCAAAAGGGCGCGGATGGTGTTGAACCCGGGCGTTTGTTCCTCACCGCCTACTCGGATGCTTCATATGCATCAGAACCAGAGGACATGACAAGTGTGGGAGGCTTCATATGCTGTGTTGGTGGAGGCCCAACTGCTTGGGAGAGCAAGAAGCAGGTTGACCAAGCTTTGAGCTCGGTGGAGTCCGAGTACATGGCACTCTTCCGTGCCGTACGGGAGATTGTGTGGCAGCGGCGTTTGTTGGCTGAATTGGGGGAGGAGCAGCAAGGACCTACCCCACTATATTGTGACAGCCAGGGTGCCATTGCTCTTGCTAAGAACCCTGTGTTGCATGGACTCACGAAGCACATGAGGGTGAAGTGGCATTGGACGAGGAGCATGGTAACCGCGGGTGAAGTTGAGTTGCGCTACGTGAAAACCACGGGGCAGCCGGCTGACATGATGACCAAGAGGCTGGTGGAGCAGCAGCATTGGAAGTGTTGCAAGCTGGCTGGGATGGCTCTGAACTGAGAGAGCAACATATCCGAAGGCCAACAATCCGAGGGGGAGTTTGTTGGTGCAACCCTATGGTTTGCACTCGGCTTGTTGTCCGTGTGCGTGCATGTGTGTGTGTGTGTATGGAATGGTATGAGGGCATGGGATAATATATATTTCATGCTTATAATTGTGTGTGAATGTTGAGTCATGATGTCGAGTGTATGTGTCGGGTCAATAGCGAGTTATCGCTAGACGTGTGTTACGCGGTCGTTTGTGTCTCGCGCGCGGTTTCTATTTTGTCGTGCGCGGTTTCTATTTTGTCCTGTGTCGAACGTTCGGTGTGTCGCAGGTGTGTGCAGCAGACCCATCAAGAACTCAAGGATGAGTTTGTGATGAAGAGCCTGAGCCTTGGTGTCAAGCCTCAAGTGATTTCAAAGCTCGCCAAAAGGGTACACCTCAAGATATTGAAGATAGTTACATTACTTTGTGTAGTGTAACATTTCACTTGGTGTAGGCCCTAGTGAAGGGTAGTTTCGAGACCCTTCGTGGTTGGGGACAGTGTGGCACTGTTCCACATCACTGTACCTCGGCTCTTGGGGTTTGTAGGAGCTGGGAGTCATTCCAAACTCGTAACTCTTCCTAACTCTTCCTATTTTGTGTTCTAAGTCTATAGTGGCTGCCATAGTGCCGTTCGTTCAAACCGACACTGTGTCGTCAATACTTGGTCAAATCGTGCGATCTAAATTGCCTATTGTAGGCGACAATAAGACGCTCCAGATCCAAGTTGAATCAAGTCATTTGAAGCTGTCACCAGAACGCTATGAACGTTTGAAGCCGCTGTGCAGAAATCCGACTGTGCACTCTATCTTTCGTTTTAAGCACATTGGAGCCTACTGTGACTATAACAGACACAAGCATGCGACCGGACACAAGCATGCGTCCGGACACAAGCATGCGTCCGGACACAAGCATGCATCCGGACACAAGCATGCGTCCGGACACAAGCATGCGTCCGGACACAAGCATGCGACCGGACACAAGCATACATCCGGACACAAGCATGCGCCCGGACACAAGCATGCGTCCGGACACAAGCATACATCCGGACACAAGCATGCGTCCGGACACAAGCATGCGACCGGACACAAGCATGCGTCCGGACACAAGCATGCGACCGGGCACAAGCATGCGTCCGGACACAAGCATGCGTCCGCACACAAGCATGCGTCCGGACACAAGCATGCGTCCGGACACAAGCATGCGTCCGGACACAAGCATGCGTCCGGACACAAGCATGCGTCCGGACACAAGCATGCGTCCGGACACAAGCATGCGTCCGGACACAAGCATCGGACACAGCATGCCGGACACAAGCATGCGTCCGGACACAAGCATGCGTCCGGACACAAGCATGCGACTGGGCACAAGCATGCGTCCAAACACAAGCATGCGTCCGGACACAAGCATGCGTCCGGACACAAGCATCCATCCGGACACAAGCATGCGTCCGGATACAAGCATGCGTCCGGACACAAGCATGCGTCCGGACACAAGCATGCGTCCGGACACAAGCATGCGTCCGGACACAAGCATGCGTCCGGACACAAGCATGCGTCCGGACACAAGCATGCGTCCGGACACAAGCATGCGTCCGGACACAAGCATGCGTCCGGACACAAGCATGCGACTGGGCACAAGCATGCGTCCAAACACAAGCATGCGTCCGGACACAAGCATGCGTCCGGACACAAGCATGCGTCCGGACACAAGCATGCGTCCGGACACAAGCATGCGTCCGGACACAAGCATGCGTCCGGACACAAGCATGCGACCGGACACAAGCATGCGTTCGGACACAAGCATGCGTCCGGACACAAGCATGCGTCCGGACACAAGCATGCGACTGGGCACAAGCATGCGTCCAAACACAAGCATGCGTCCGGACACAAGCATGCGTCCGGACACAAGCATGCGTCCGGACACAAGCATGCGTCCGGACACAAGCATCCATCCGGACACAAGCATGCGTCCGGACACAAGCATGCGTCCGGACACAAGCATGCGTCCGGACACAAGCATGCGTCCGGACACAAGCATGCGACCGGACACAAGCATGCGTCCGGACACAAGCATGCGTCCGGACACAAGCATGCGTCCGGACACAAGCATGCGTCCGAACACAAGCATGCGTCCGAACACAAGCATGCGTCCGGACACAAGCATGCGTCCGGACACAAGCATGCGTCCGGACACAAGCATGCGTCCGGACACAAGCATGCGACCGGGCACAAGCATGCGTCCGGACACAAGCATGCGTCGGACACAAGCATGCGTCCGGACACAAGCATGCGTCCGGACACAAGCATGCGTCCGGACACAAGCATGCGTCCGGACACAAGCATGCGTCCGGACACAAGCATGCGACCGGACCCAAGCATGCGTCCGGACACAAGCATGCGTCCGGACACAAGCATGCGACCGGACTCAAGCATGCGTCCGGACACAAGCATGCGTCCGGACACAAGCATGCGTCCGGACACAAGCATGCGTCCGGACACAAGCATGCGTCCGGACACAAGCATGCGACCGGGCACAAGCATGCGTCCGGACACAAGCATGCGTCCGGACACAAGCATGCGTACCGGACTCAAGCATGCGTCGGACACAAGCATGCGACCG